TGGTCCGGTAAAGTACAATCTTACCCAGGTCGTGGGCCAAAGGGCACGGTGGCACGGTAGTGACGACAAAAAACCTGGTAAGAGAAGTCAGTCGATAGTTGGCAGTCGAAGGGTGAGGACGTTGGAAAGTGAGATGGGGAGCTCTGAAATGAAGGATAGCAGACACTAAGGCTACCATTTTCCCATATAAAGTTAATTTTGATATTTCAGTGTGTACTCTTTGGGCCAAAACCGGAGATAGCCAAACTTTGTTATTGTACGGACGTAGGCCTACGTGCAGCGAGTATCATGTCATTGACAATGATACAATGATTGAAATTCAATGATTGCTCACCACAACTCAACGGGGCTACTTCTAACATTATATCTTCTGTTCCAAGAGTAAACAAATTTTGTTTGAAATCGGAGGTAGGCAAATTTTAAGCTTTGACCTTTCTGAAAAACCAAGAGTTGCTTCCTTACGGCACAGTAACGCTAAGCCTGCATTTTTTCTTCTGTAGTGACTGTATAAAATGTATTCGGCTTACTTCATAAGGGGGCAGCCATGATTGTTTGTTTGAGACCTGATTTCACCATCTATAAGGACAAAAATATGCTTTTATAGATCAATCAGTTTAAATGTAGTATTCTTTGCTAATAAAAGTGTAATCTTCAATTTTTAACTAGGTAAATAACCATAAAACCTATTAGGACTATGCACTTGTGAGATACTCATCCCAACTAAAATGTTTTCTGCTTTAAAAAAAAATGTTTGTAAAACATTGATTTTACTTATTTGGCAAGTAAATTTGTATTATTGTATGAGTGTCCAGATTGACACTTTTTTAATAGTAGATGGCCGATTTGAGGTTGCAATACAGTGAAATCTTCAGTGTTTCACTTCATTTGCTTTACTTTTTGATCTAGATCTACTGATGAGTGTTGATAAAGCCTGATAGAATTACCAGAAAAAAATCCGTTCATCATAGCAAAAACATTGTCTCGATTCGAAATGATGAACAAAATTAATAACCTGGCCGATATCGGTGTCTTACTCCAAAGAAATAATCTGGGAAGTTTATGCTAAACACAACACCGCCGCACACTCACTCACAGTTCACACACAACACAGTAAAAGGTAAAATGGCGGCCGCGTTTCCTTCACAGGAGCACAGGCCGGTGAAAAAGCCAAAGCTTGGCCCACCCGACGTTTACCCGCAAGATTCTAAACAAAAGGAGGTTTGTCAAACATAAAGTCTTTTAAAAGTCTGAATATTACAACCATTGAAACCCTACAATCATACTATCTATTATTTCAGGAGTTTAGACATGGATTGGTCACGACAGTGAGGAGAAGTGTGTGTTGTGATATTATGATTATGATCATCTTCATTCATCGCATCATTTGTCTCGTTGATATTTTGTCTGATCATAATATGGTACCGTCAATTCCCACCGAGAGAAGCAGTGGTGTGGCAATTGACTGTTGTAGGCTTATAAATTCTTAGGCTCTCGGACTCGCAACCGTAAGGCGGTAAGGTCGTGGGTTCGAATCCCGTCACCGCCGTCAGGGGCCCGACGTTGTGTCCTTGGGAAAGGCACTTTACACGAATTTTCCTCACTTCACCCAGGTGGGAATGGGTACCTGGC